CCACTCCTTGGTCTATATCCAAAGGACTTAAAATCAGCTTACTATAGTAATGCAGCCACATCAATGTTTACAGCAGCTCAATTCACAATAGCTAAATTGTGCAAGCAACCTAAATGCCTTTCAGTAGATGAATGGATAAAGAAACTGTGGCATATAAAAACAATGGAATATTAATCAGCAATAAAAGAGAATAAAATCATGGCATTTGTAGGTAAATGGATGGAGTTGGAGAATATCATGCTAAGTGAAGTAAACCAATCCCAAAAAAACAAAGGCCGAATGTTCTCTGATAAGTGGATGTTGATCCATAATGGTGGAGGGTGGGGTGGGGCATGGAAAAAAATGGAGGAACTTTGGACAAAAGGGAGGGAGAGGTGTGGAAGATGTGTGGGGGTAGGAAAGATGGTGGAATGAGATGGACATCATTACCCTAGGTATATTTATGACTGCACATATGGTGCGATGCTACATCCTATAACAGAAAAATGAAAAGTTGTGCTGCAGTTGTGTACAATGAATCAAAATGAGTTCTGCTGTCATATATACTTAAATAAATAAATTTTTAAAACTTTAAAAAAGTATACTTAAAATCTGCATAACTGTTTTTATGACACTGACATTGTTTCCAACCAGTCCCTACCTAGAACAATCAATTGTTAGGTTTAAAGGCTTTAATAAATTCAGGTTAAAAAACAAAAAGACTTTGGGCATCAGTAATGAGTTATATAACCTTGGGTAAGAAGGAAGACAGATTCTAAGACACTGAAAGTTTCTGTGTATGGAGAGTGAATGGAGACTCCTAGGTAACCTTTGCTTTATCTAGTAATATATAATAATCATGAATTTTCACTAACAGATATGGCCAGTGGCAACTTTAAATCAAACAGTCGTGAGTTCAAGTTCCTAGTTCTACTGCTCATTCATTTGAACTTGAGTAATGGGAACCCTTGGAAAGTCTCAGCTACTGCTTTTTTTAAAATACTAATACAGGCCCATTTCTTTTCCCAAATCCTAGAAGCAGATGAGTTTCAGAATTCAGTATTTCTTAGATGTAGAATCTGCATATCCCCTCTCCCCAGCAGAGCTAGGGTAGATCCTTGCAGAATATGTTAATATTTTTGAGGCAAAATATATTTATACTATAATGGGATAGAAAAAAGATTATCAATAGTCTTCTCCTCATCAGTTCAGGGAAGGTGAGAGTTTTGGTACCAAATGACTGATGAAAAAAAAAAAACTTTCAAGTTTTAGCACTTTTTAGACTTTGATTATCTTTTTTTTTTGAATTTTGAATTTTGGGATTGTGGACCAGACTTGTCTTTCTTTCAGAAATTTTGGGAAGATTGCATAAGTATGTCAGTACCTAGCACTTGGTGGGAGTTCAATAAAAGATACTTATTATTTAAACTAATACAAATGACTGCACTATATTGTTATAAATTTATTGAATACATATTTAATGAAATAAAATGTTTTAATCCATGCCCACTGATGATAAGAGCTGACCAATGATACATTTGTTACCCAAGTGCCTACCATATGCCAGGTCCCTGGCACTTTTGATATTATCTCCTTCTCTCCACTTGATAGTCCCACATGGTGGTCTTATCGTTCCCCTTTTATAAATGAGGTACTTTAGCTGGATACAGTGGTGCACGCCTGTAATCCCAGTGGCTCTAGAGGTTGAGGCAGGAGAATTTTGAGTTCAAAGCCAGTCTCAGCAAATTAATGAGGCCCTAAGTAACTCAGCAAGACCCTGCCCCCCCAAAAAAAAAAAAAAAGGCCGAGGAAAAGGGTAAACAACCCCGGCCTCAAACCCCAAGAAAAAAAAAAAAAAAAAAAAAGAGAGAGAGAGACACTTTGTGCCCCCAAGAGGCAGACATACATTCTCCAAAGTCACAGAGACAGTAGGTGGCAGAGTAAAAGATTGAACCCAATATTCTCTGACTTTAGGGGGGAAAATGCTGCATTTGGATTATTTCTGGGAGGAAAAATAATCACAAGTATACAGTAAATATTCAGAGGGAATTGTTCTGTAAGAATGGAAGCCTTCATTCTACATCTTGCTTCTGAGTGGGCTCCCAACTGTCAGTCAGCTCTGGACCTGGGAGGCAGGCCTGTGGTGACCCAACTGAGAGCCCAGTTGTGCTGATTCAGGGCAGAGGAGTCTGGGCCCTATTCTCAGCAATCGGCCAGCTTCTGACCGTCTCTGTTTTCTTCTCCCCTTTACAAGGAACTTCAACTGCAGAGAGTTTACAGCAGGAGCCTTTTCAGTGCTGAGTCTGCTTCTCTCTTATCTAGGTCTGCAAGGTCCTCTGTTGACACCCTGGGAGAACACAGGTACGGATCCCTGCTCCTTTAAAGATACCATTTCCTTTTCTGGCTTTGGTTCTTTCATCTACCACTCACGGCCCTTCTCCCAGGCTGGCAGCTTGCAGTGATTTGTTTTGAGTTCTTCAGGAGATGGCAAGATTGCTTATCTCTTCTGTACTTACCCTATAAATTCCTACTCCAAAATAACTCACACTTGGTCCTACTATTTCTACCTCCTAGACTGAAAATAAGGTAGGGGTGTGATTGCATTTGTGTGTGCGTGTGTGTAATGAAGACTTTGAGGGCTCTGTGAATCCTGTTATCACTGTTAGGTCTCCTTAGAAAGTAAGTCCCTCTCTCCACACTTACTTCATTTTAACCCATCCCTCTCAGGTGCTGAAATTCTCCAGATCTGGCTGCATCCACCCTCTGTCCTGTTCACTGTTTTAGTTTCAGGATCTAGGACAGGACCTGGCACAGATTGCCCTGCACCCTTACCTGCTGGTCAAAAATGTTAAGCTTCCCTCCCAGAGCAGCACCCCCAACCTTTCCCTGGAGACCTCTTATTTATTATCCTGACTAGGTCATCCAGGACTTCCTCTGGGAAGTCTTCTTTGCATTCTTCAGGTCTTCTAAGTTTTTCCTCATAGATCACCCCTTTTGGCAGCGCTTTCCCCTCCCCCCTTATTCCCAGTTTCACTTCCTGTTGGTTTCAATCACCCATGGTCAACTGCTATCTGAAACTATCAAATGGAAAATTCCAGAAATAAGCAATTCATAAATTTGAAATTGCAAGCTACTGTAAATAGCATTTAACCTCACACTGTCCCTCCAGGGATGTGAATCATGTCTTTGTCCAGTATATCAAAGCCATATAGCCGGGTGTGGTGGCACATGCCTGTAATCACAGCAGCTTGAGAGGCTGAGGCAGGAGGATTGCAAGTTCAAAGCCCAAAGCCAGCCTTAGAAACTTAGTGAGGCCCTGAGTAACTCAGGAAGCCCAAAGGAGGCCCTGGGGCATAAAACAGTGGAAGGACAGATTAACCTTCCTACTATGTGACAGTGTTGCAGGGCATATAAGAAAAAAAACCAGTATATGTAGCCATCATTACTATCTATAGTTTTAGGCATCCACTGGAAGTCTTGGAATGTATCCCCCTGTAGATAAGGGGGGACTACTGTCTTGGAATGTATCCCCCTGTAGATAAGGGGGGACTACTGCATGTTGCATGCAGTGTTACAGGTGTTCCTGGCTAGACTATGAACTCCCAGGGAGCAGAGATTGCATCTTTGAGTCCCTATGCTTATCACAGACCTAGACACATCATCTGGGCTACATAAATTCTGTAATTACTTTGAAATGTAAGCAAGCCCTTCATGAGACTGCGATCCTGTCATGAGAGAAGCTTTGCTGGAGTTATCCAGGTAAGGGAGGCAAACAGGAGTTTAGGATGCTCCAAGGATGGGCCAGAGACAGGCCGAGGAGGGCACTGCATTTCCTAAATAGCTGACTTCTCCGCCTTTAATAGTAAAATACCCTGGCCTTGGAGCAAGAAAGGCAAAGAAGCTTATCAAAAAGATTACTCTTCATGGGGACAGATTAACTATAACTATCACAGGTACATCATTAGCTCTCAACCAGTGTCAACAAATCTTAATGTTTTTCAATTGTATTCTTGCAGTACCAGGCTGAGGTGACAGGCACCGCCAGGGGCTGGCAGCCTTCCCATGCAGCAAAGAGGGAAGGAGGGGTGCTCATTCCTACTGGGCATCCAATTCTTGGAAGATGGCACAGCCCTGTGGGTTCTTCTCCCTAGAAGACACGGAGGATTCCATACACTGGGATTCTTGAATGCAAACCCCAACCTATGTGTGGCTTTTGGGGTAATGTGATTAGCAGGGAGCAGGACTACTTTTACTTCAAGAGCTGGATTTTCTCAGGCACACCATGTTCTGCAACACTATACTATACCATTTCTTCCTTTACCTTTTAATTCAATTGAACCAGCATTTATTGATTCCTGCAGAGGCAAGAAACTGTGAGATCCTGTCGAAATTTAAAGATGAAAAGGGCTGACCCAAAGGAAAAATGAACATTTCCAAAGAGGAAAGGGCCGTGCCATGTGGTAGGGTCCAGAGGTGAGTACAACCTCAGTCCTCCAAGAACTTGTTCTCCAGAGCAAAACACTCTCCCTGAGTAAGTTTGACACAAAGTGGGGCAATCTCACCTTCCTGCCCTTATTACCACTCACCAGCTCAAAAAATCCCTGAGGGTTAAAAGAATAACAGGTGGAGTCTGGCCTTGCTCCAGGGCATGATGCTGGAGCCTGTCAACGCCATCTTTCCAGATACCATGTGGCCCTATCCAGATGGAGATCCTGAGTCTCACAATTCCAGAGCAGAGGTGGCCCCCTGCAACCTTCATGGAGAAGAGCAGAGGGCTCCAACTCCTTTCATCCAGACTCTGATGGGGAGGGGTGCTTTGAGCTGTCTAGGTGGGGAGTATTGAGCTGGGTATGAATGGAGGTGGCTGGGAGGGGACTTGGACAGATGGAGTGGACAGGCCAGAATGGAAGAGGCTGGGGAACACCAGCTCCTGGGTTGCGGTCCTTGGCGCCTCGCCCGGCCCAATGCGGGTTGGCTGCGGGCAAAGGGGTGGCGCCCCCACCCTGAGCCCAGCCACCCACCTGGGCACGCCCTGGCGTAGTCGAAGCAGCAGTCCCCCGTGAGGCGGCAAGCTTGGTCGCAGAAGCAGGTCCCATAGACCCTGTCCAGCCTCCAGCCGCGGGCGAAACAGGCGGGGTCCCGACCAGGGCAACAGCGCCCCGCCTCGGCGCAGCCAGCTAGGGCCCCGGGCCACAGATGCGCCAGCGCGCACAGCGCCATCCACAGGGTCCTCATGGCCAGCGATCCGGTGGCGCCTGCGATGTGTCGGACCCTCAGGGCAAATGCTCTCTGCTCCAGGGAGAGCTGCGGCCCCTGAGCTGCCCCAGCGGCCCGCGAGGCACAGCCGGGCCCTGCCCCGCGCCCGGCCTCCGCCCTCCACCCTTCCGCGCGGCCCCTCCCCAGCCCTGGCGGCGCGCCCATCGGGCTCTGGGCGGGTGGCTGCGGCCAACCCTGCGCAGGTGGGGAGGGCGTCGCTGCCTTCCCGGGATGCGCCCCGAAGTCAGGGACAACACTCGCTTCACACTGCCACCCCGTCCGGGGACCGCCCGCAGTGGGGAGCAGGGGTGGGGCGGAGGGGACAGGTGCCCCGGGGGCCAGGAGCAGGGAGGAGGGCCATCCCGGAGCCAGGCCAGGGCGGCCACTTTTCCTGCCTCCAAACTCTGCTTGCTTACGTCTAGGGACACTTTAGCATTACGGTATTTTCCCTCTAAAGCAATGAGATAAATAGCTCTTAATGTGCATTAAACCAGGCATCATCAGCACCCTGCGTTCTAGCCCTGACCTCGCCCAGAAAAGCCTGTAGTGGTATTTTTTTTCCAAGTATCAGTTCGCCGACCCTCTGAGCCCCCACACCACTTTGCTTCACTTAAGAGGCAGTTAATGAGTGTGAAGGAAAGGATAGATAAAATATAAACGGTGCTCTGCTTTCTGTGAAAGCAGATTTCCCCCCAAAGAAACCCTGTTCTATATTTTAGAAATAACTTGCACTTGAATAAAATGCTTGCCTAATTTTTAAAATATGCAAGTATATCATGACTTCTGCACTTCACTCTTTTTGTTCACCAAAATTTATCCTAGAAGTCACATTTTCTTTTATGTTCTTAAATCATTTGACTTAATATGGGCTTTTTTGAAAGACGTTTTCTGCATCTGTCAACCTAAGAAATCAAATTCAGAAGAATCCAGAGACTAGTTTTATTCCTTTTCCATACAGGGACCTCTCATAGAGGAACTTACTCATCAGAGAGAAAAGTAACGAAAGGAAAAATGAAAAACATATGTATGTGTGTGTGTATACGTGTGTGTGTGTGTGTGTGTGAAATGGAAAAGTTTACTACATTGTAAGACTTGTATAATTTTTTATTATTTGTATTTATTTTTTGTCCACAATGCCAGCCTGGCATGGAACTTTTTTTTGATCCTCCTTCCTCAGCCTCCTGGGATTACAAGGATTTGTATTTTATAAACTCTAATCACATTTAAAGTTTGACCAATGTAGAATGTAATCTTATTTTATTGTCCAAGGAAAACATACTTTAAAGTCAAAAAGAGATTCTTTCTTTGTGAGTTTATACAAATAAATTCTCAGCATTGGAAACTTTTTTATTTCCGCTTTGAGTAGGCTTCTTTCCCTTTTGCAGTTTAAAGAAATAATTTCTTCTTCCTCCTCCTCCTCCTCCTCTTCCTCCTCCTCCTCTTCTTTTTTGTGTTTTTAATTCTTGGTAGCCAGAACTAAACTACCTTGTCAGCAAATTATACCCTTTGCCTTTTACCCATGCAGTAGGTTTTATTAGCAGTGTTGTACGAACTCACTCATGTAATTTATCCCCCACGCCTTCTGTGGGCTGTCTGCTTTCTGGAATGCCTTTAGGCAGATACTTAATCTGTAATATCTTAAGAATCTGGAATTGTTCCAGAAAGATGTAAAGGAAAATGATCTGCTGACAAGTTCATTTTCAGGAATTAAAATCTGCACTGAAGTGATAACAGGAAGGAATGATGAGGTCTAGGTTAAGAGAATTAAACATATAATACCAAATTCCTGATCAAGTACCATCTTTTTTTTTTTACCTCTGTTCCTCTCATCCTCCGACAAAACCAAACCAAAAATTGAAAATAAAATTTTGGGCTTTGAGGGGCTGGGGTTGTGGTTCAGTAGTAGAGCGCTCTCCTCGCACGTTCGAGACCCTGGGTTGGATCCTCAGCACCACATAAAAATAAATAAGTGAAATAAAGGTATTGTGTCCAACTACAACTAAAAAAAATAAATTTTTAAAAAATATTTATTTTTTAGGTGTAGATGGACACAACACAATGCCTTTATTTTTATTTTTATGTGGTGCTGAGGATCGAACCCGGGTCTCGTCTGCGCTAGGCAAGCGCTCTACTGCTGAGCCACAATCCCAGCCCCCCCCCAAAAAATATATATTTTTTTAAAAAGTTTGGGTTTGAAGTTAGACAGGACTTGGGACCAGTTCTGGTGTTATGATCTCGGACAACTGCCGCAGTGTCCTCATCTCAAACATAGATTTTAATTGATTGCTGTGAGATGCCTATAGAAATTGGGTGACAAGTGTAAAGTAAGCACTGAGTGGTTGCTAAGTATCAATTAGTGTTCTAATATTCACCCGACTCCATAATTTGAGCCTGATGTCTTGTAAAAGACAGTTGTAGGTTTTTTTTGGGGGGGGGCGGTGCCAGGGATTGAACTGGGGGGCAAACATCCCTAGCCCTATTTTGTATTTTATTTAGAGACAGGGTCTCACTGAGTTGCTTAGGGCCTCAATCAGTTGCTGAGACAGGCTTTGAACTCTCAATCCTCCTGCCTCAGCCTCCTGAGCCACTGGGATTACAGGTGTGTGCCACTGTGCCTAGCTAGATGCAATTTTAATGGTGTGTAACACCAGGGAAAGCACAAAGCTAAAGAAGGAGAAGGAAAAGGAGAAGGAGAAGGAGAAGGAGACAAATGGATGGTTATTACTTTAAAACAAACATAAAAGGGAAGTAACATTGAAACAAACTCTCAAGCTAAAGCTTGTGCTGTCTTGAAAACATCAAGATAAGCCTCCACTGGCAGGCCCTAGCAAACACGGCAGTTCCTGCAGGACCGGGCAGAGTCAAGGGACACTGGCATTTAAAGTGAAGGGGTTCATATCCTTACTTTGAAACTGGATGTAGTCAAATGTAACAATGAGTTGCTTTGTTTTCCATGCTGTGTAGATGTTTGGAGAACAGAAATCATCCCATCAATCATGTGGATGAACATAGGAAGTAATCAGATGCACCTTAAAAGAAATCCTTTCTTCTGAAGTGTTGTATTTGGAAGCTGTCCAAAACCGGTAGAACTATAGAGGGAAATGGAGACCTACCTGGGCATCACATTCCAGAACACAGTAATTTTAAAGGACCTCCACCTACGTGATCTCACTCGGTCCTGCATAACTGTGAGGAAAATATTAGCACCCCTGTTTTGTAGATGACAGACAGATTAGACATGTTGCTAATTAGTGACAACATGGGTCTGGAACTGAAATTATTCTTTCCAAACACAAAGAGGTTCTTCCCATAAATGAAAGCTTGTAGGAGGGGGTAGTGGAGGAAGATGGCGGTGAAAAGTAAAATTAGGCACTGTGCTTAATACTGTAAGGAGTAGATGTGGAAATCAAGAGGCAAATAATTTCACGAAAAGTTTGGATACATTTAAGATGTAAGTTTTACCTTCTTGTCCATTTAAGATGGATAGGGCATTATTCAAGTCTTCCTCGATACAGTGAAGGCTGTAGGGAATCTCTTGAGGTTGACAAATGGGACAATTGGGGCTCAAGCACAGCCCTCATGTCAGAGCTGGCACTGGTCACTTGGTTGCAGTCATTCTCTCCTGAGGCTGAGATATTGCTCTAGGCTGAGGGTCAAAGATGGCTAAAGCTGGTCCGCCCCTCAGGAGACTAACATCTAATGGAGGAGCTAGACATGTCAACAGCCACTGCGACATATTGTAAGGAGTGTTCTTATTAAAGGAAAAGGGAAGGATGTCTGGAGCCAGGCAAACAAGGAAGATTTTTTTAATTGGGGTTATAAAAGTCGGTATTGAGGTACCCATTAGCCCTGTTAGTCCTCTTACGGTCTCCTTGGAAAATGTAGAGTCAGTTACTGGGACAATTTCCAGTAACTTTTGTGAGGGTCCTGCTTTGATAGATTGGCATCTAGTCATTTAGTAATGCCAAAATGTGCAGACAAGGATCCAAAGATGCTTGCTTAAAGTTGGCATACACAGTTCTTCCTGTACCACCGTATAACAAGCAACCAGGGACATTGCTGCCAAGGTTTATGCTGCCAGTTCTACACCTTTGATTCTATCAATTAAATAAATGCAGAGTGGATACAGAAGTGGTAAAGTAAACTCCTTGTTTGCCTATAAAAGGTCCATTAGTTCCTTTTTTTTTTTTTTGTACTTGGCATTGAATTTAGGGGAACTGTACCACTGAGCTGCTATATGTCTCCAGCCCTTTTCAATTTCATTCTGAAACAGAGTCTTGCTACATTGCTGGGCTGATCTACAATTTGTGATCCTACTGCCTTAGTTCCCCCCAGGTAGCTGGGATTATAGGCATGCTTCCCTTCTTCTTTGTCTAATGGCCCTCAGATTTTCCTTTCTGAAGGAACAATATTTACCCTTCCTTATTAGACAGCACCCCACGCTCCACTAATGGGCTTTGAGTTAATTTTATCCTCAGTCTATGGACCGCTCAGAGACCAATCAGAAACTCCAGGCATTGGAATGTTTGTCCAGTAGGTGATTTGGTTTCACCTTTGCTCTTACCAGAGGCAAATGATGATATGGCCCAGGTGAAACCCGCCTGAGATCATAGCACCAAACCAGGGACGATAGATCAGGGAATCATAGGACTTTGATGGAAATGATACTTGAAGTCACACTTACCCCTTCTCAATCCTCTACCCCAATAAACTGTAAGTTTCAGTTGCCGTTTCTGTGGCTTAAAACAAAGGACTTGATAGAGGTAAGAAGGAAACAGAAAAGAGTGGGGTTTTAACAAGAACAGTAAATTTATTAAACTAAGGCGCTGTCACTTACTAGCTATGTAACCCAAAATAAAATATTGTAAATCCTTTAGGCCTCAGTTTTCTGATGTGCAAAATGAGATAAGGAAAAGGCTGAGGTATATAATTAATGCATGTCTCGTATAATTCCCGATACACAAGAATGAGCTGGTAATTAATGGTAATGACTCTATTGATGCCCTGACTTTAACACAAAAGGCATGCTTCAATTATGATCAGTAATTTTTTCATAAACTATTGTGTCAGGCTACATGATGTAATTGGAAGAGCTCTGTACTGGGAATCCAAAGA